TGCAGTCTGAAACAATTTACATGGTAATAGAAGGCATAGTCAGTCAAATAAATTGCTGGAAGTGGTAGTGTTCCAAGGGAAAAAGTACAGAGCTTATGCACATTGATTTCTTTGCCCTGGGGAGAAGCAGAGATTTTAACATCTGGGAATAAGGAGCTAAATTTTATCTCACATTTTAAAAACAGAGGGCTGGAGAGCTTAATCTGACATTTATGCAGAGTTTCTCAGTTGGGGGAGACAGGGAAAGTCTGAGCTTCCTGCTGAAGTTACCTGGTGTTCTTGGAAGTTCTCTGGACAGCTTGACTTGGAGAGGCTGGGACAGGGACCCAGGTGACATGGGCGCGTGAGGAGCTGGCTTCCTTGAAGCTGGGCATGTGCAGAGGAAGGAGGTGGTGGCAGGCAGGGAACATAAAGTATAACCTCTGATGAGGGTGTCAAAGAACCCTATGCCTGCAGACCATGCATCCAGATTTCTAGGTTTTGCACCAGACGTAACTTTTTTGCACCAGATGTAACTTTTCGACACCAGATTGACTTGATTCACTGGGACTGGTGGCATCTGCTTAGTGTGTGAGGCTGCATCCATCTCAGCAATACAGTGCAGCAATTGATTAGTACTTCCTGCCCTGGGAACATGACAGGAGCAGTAGCCTGTGTGCCACTGATTTACAGTTCCTGGCACAACCACTGAGATATGGCCCTCCTTGCCAACGTCTCTGCACTAGTACCACATTGACAGGACCCTTGCCAATCCTCCAAAGTGATTGTATATTATTTGCCGCATTATGCATGCTAATTTTTTTGCAGTAAATGTCAAAACTGAATCTCTACCTAATGACTGGTGTTGACATGTATTTTCCCCTTACATTATCTTCTTTTCAAAATCAAATAAAACATAGAATAACATGGTCGTAATTTTCAATGCAGAGTTCAAACTTAAAAAGAAAGAAGAGCGGGATTAGTTTCTCTCCTCCATCCTGCTCAGACAAACAGCTCCTTCCTCCAAAATTGTTCATTTTCACTACACCTGTCTTCTTCACCTTGTCTCTATCTTTTGGGGACCTCGCTGCATAGACTAGGAATGCATATGTTCTTCAAACAGTGAGCAGATGGCTAATTCTGTAGTTACTACTCTACATTTTACTGGTGCCATCATCGTCCCCTACAGTTCTGCCTCATTACATTTATTGAGGTTGTCTGAATTTTCTTGGGCTTCATATAATGGACTTGTGTTGTTGCCAAGGATTTGTAATGATAAAAATTTTTTGCTGCGTATCCTCAGCCTAGTAATCCGTGTTTCTTATGTCTTTTGTGCTTGTCTTTCATTTTGACTTTGGTGTTTCTCTCACAGATTTGGGAAAGCTCTTTACAAGTGAAGGAAATTACTACTCTGTTCAATGTGCTCTAATTTTCTTCATTTTGTTCTTTTTCTCATACTTGATGGTGGTGTGTTTCATGTTGTCTTGGTTACTTTTCTCTCGTTGCTGAGACAAAATACCCAACGCCCAAAATGAAGGAAGGAAAGGTTTATTTAGCTTACAGTTTGTGGAGGTTTCAGTCCATACTTGGCTGGCTCTGAGGCAAAAGGTAGCAAAGCAACAAGAGCAAAGGGGGGAATGGCAGCTGAACAGCAAACAGCCAGAGCAAACGGGAGGAATGGCGGCAAGCAGCTTCTTTCCCTGCCTTACTTTGTAAACAGGCTACCCCCACCTAAGGGGCGTGTAGCTCTCACATAATCTTTGCCCTCCTCTTCCACAGGCTCAGGATGTATACAAAGTAAGCACCCTGGCTTCCTGTTGAGTCACTTAGCCAAACCTCTAGACTCCCCAAGTTGACACAATGTATCAACCATAACACATGTGTAACATTTTGTGTACACAAAATTTATAATCTTTTGTAGTAACACTGTGGGTTGGGGAGTCAACATTGGAAAGATCTTATCTAGCACTCTCAGATTATAAAAGATCCCACATTATTATAGTTTAGGTCTAAATGTCCCACCAAAAGTTTCATGCATTCCCGTGTGGGTTTTTGGAAAGTAATTAGACCATGGGGCTGACACAGTCATCAGTGGATTAATCTATTGATAAACTCATAGCTGAATGTGTGCTTAGGAATTGGGGCCTGCTTGGAGATGGGTCATGGGTGGTGTGACCGAGGAAGGCATGTCCTTGTCCTGGGTTCCCTTTCTCCCTCTTCCCAGGATGCCATGCATTGAATAGCTATCATTCTCCTGCCCTTCCACATGTCATTTCTGCCTTTGGGCCAGCCACCCATGTAGGGACTAAGCCTACTAAAACTGTGAACCAAAATAAACCCCTCTCTTTTTTTTTTTTTTTGGTTTTTCTCCGGTACCGGGAACCGAACTCATGACCTTGCACTTGCCAGGTCGCTGAGCTAAATCCCCAGGCCCTTAAACCCCTCTCTTTAAGTTGTAGGTATCAGATATTTTGTCCCAGTGACAAAAAAGTGACTAAGGCACACATATTTGGTTATGTTGTGTCATCCAGTAAAGACATGAATTAAGGAGATATTTTAATTTTTTTGCCTCAGAGAATGCAGACTCTAAGCTCTGTAGGGATTGGTATAGTCTGTGACCATCTGAGGGTTGGGAAGTGTCTGTGCATTTCTCAGGTGCTCTCTCCCCTCTAATCCCGTCTGGCTAGACATTTTAGATTTAGTGGGCTAGGGTAGGTTGGTGACCTTTAGAGCCCCTGACCCTTGTCTGTCTCTCTCAGCCTTGCAATTCTGCCTATCTCTACCCCTGGGAACCTGCCAAGGCCCATGACCCCACACCTCTGCTCATTGATCAGATGGCTTTGGTCAGCTGTGGCCTGAGCTTGGAACTTTCCCCATCTTGGGCCAGCTTTCACTCACTGCATGCTGGGGACCCTTACCCTATGTCCCTATGTCTAACCCGTGCCCTCTGTATAGGCACAAGGAGTTTGGCTACTGTGTCAGCCTTCTTATAATCTAAAGCCATTGTTATACAAAGTGTGCCATGTTCTCTTGCTGCTCTTTGCTGCTGTATGGGGTCTATACACACGCATGCACACACACATGCTCAAGGACAGGGCAGGGCATGGAGAAGTGGGACATGGCGGCACAGGAAGAAGCAGCATCCAGGTTGCTTGTTGGCTTAGGGTTGTAGTTTAGGATCTGAGAAGGCGAGCGCATCCTTTTCCTCCTAACAAGCTGCCACAGGGTGTATCAGTTCAATTCATCAGCCATGGGAATTCATTGTGTGGATTCATGGAGAAAACCAAGACTTCTTGGTAACTAGAGCAGTCAGTCAGACAGCCATTGCCTTCTACTTTTGAGAGACAGCTGTCTCTGCTGCTTCGCCCCGCTCAGTCTGCCTCAGGATGTTTGAGCATGTGTTTGTCGCTTTTTCTGAGGTGAGGGGGCAGGAAAGACATGGGGGTTGGCATAGTTGGCTGCTTTATGCAGGACAACACAGGGACCCTGCTAAGCAGGGAGTGACAGGTAGGCAGGCAAATGCCCAGTCACAGGGCCCAGGGAGGCTTAGGAGGGGCCTCAAGAGCAGAAGGATCCCATGAGCAAGCGGCGGGGGAGCCTGCGGTGCAGCCCCATTCCCCCCAAACCAGGGCTCCCGTGACCTTTTAAGGTGAGATGGGTGTGTTGTGGGGAGAGTGGCCGCCAGGCAGGACTCTGTGACCTCTGCGTTTGGGCTCAAGCCGTGGAGATGGGCAAGCAGTTCTGATTTTCTTGTTACCAGATTTTCTCATGACCAGCACCTTCTGGGAAATACAGAGAAAAGACGTGTGGCCTTCTTCATTGGCTCCAGAACGGTCCACAGAATCAAGACCTCAGCGCTCCTAGAGGGGTCTGAGCAGCATCTGTGGGTGGCCCAGAAAAGCCTTGGTGGCTCTGCTCCCCATTTCTATCTCAGGCTGTCTCGTGTCACAGTGTCTGTGTCTGTCAGTCTATCTGTCTCTGTCTTGTGTATGAATGTGGCACGCACGCGCATGTGCGTATCTCTCTCCTTCTGCTCGGGTGTATGGCTGAGTCCTGGTCACAGCTCAGGGAGTTTCACCTAATGAAGAGTTGGGGATTCAGGCACTGGTGGTACTTTTTAGATCAGAACGTATCCCAAGCACTAGCCGGTGACCACCTTTAACATGCTGTGACCCATGGAGCAAGGCTGAAACCATCAGAGGAAGGCGGGTTTGATGGCAGTTAACACCTGGGTTTTCAGCAGGCATGCTCAAGTCCAGCTGCAGGCTTTCCACAGCCTGCTGGATGCCTTGGGCCAGACCCTCAGCCTCTCTGTTATCCACCACCCCTCCACTGGGGCTGAAGTTAAGACCTGCCCTCCTGCCGAGGAAGAAGGTAGAGGGTGCTCCCAGAGCGCTCTGCATCAGGTACTGTGGGTGCTGTCTCTCGTGAAGCAGTGACCGCACTCCCTGTGACAGGTCAGCTGGACGTGGCTACAGGTCACGTGTGTCTTCAGGATAGGCTGGAGCATCCACACCGAGGCAGAAAACTACATTTTCACTGCCTGATAGAGATGTCAGAAGAATCATAGATGCAATAATTTTGTGGTAGCCACATTAAAAAGTAAAAAAGAAACTAGTGAAACTAATTGTAATAATAAATTTTCTTTTATCTACTCATAATATATTTATATTTTTAAACATAACAATATATTTTTATTTATTATTAAATATCATCCTAAGATATAATCGATATAAAACTATTAATGAGATGTTAATATTAATGAGATTTTTACATTCCTTTTCTTCATAGTATGTTCGAAATCAAGTGTGTGTTTTACACTTAGGTGACATTTCCATTGAGTCTGGCCACATGGCCATTAGAGGTTGCTGGAGTGGGCAGTGTAGGTCCTACCCCCGTAGGGGATGAGCAGAGACCCAGGACAGCGTGGAAAACCATGGTGGGACATTCTGTGGTTGTTCTAAGTTAGCTTACTTCCTCAGCCTGGTCCCCCAACCTTCTTATCCATGTTTGTTTTTCAGGACTGCAAGCCTGAAGCTCCAGCCCTCCTGCCCAGTGCCAAGAGAAGCTCACAGGACTCCGTAAGTAGAAGCGGTGTGGTCCAGCAGAGTGGAAACAACTTCTGCGTCTTTTCAGCCTCCTTGGTCTGAGTTATCAACCACTGGGAATTTTTTCCCCCTTAAACCTGAAGCAGATTTTGCTGGGAGAAGCCTAGCAACTCATTTTGAGGGGAATAAAATTTCCCAAGCATCTGCACAACCTCTATAAGGAAATGGCCAGGGTCATATTCCAAGCCTGTGGTCCAGGACAGGAAAGGTGCACACAGCCCTTGGAGAAGGGCTAGGTCCAGCTGGACGTCACATCTGTGGGTGATGGATGGTACAGGCACTATAGGCTGAGCCCTTCCTTGCTGCCTTGAGAGGTCCAGGTCATAAGGGAAAAAGGAAGAAGTTAGTATCACTGGGCGTTTCCTGTGGGAACTGCAGTTTGCTTACTGAGTGCCCGGCAACCCCACACCATAGACTCACATTTGGAGTCTTTAGGTCACATGACTGTGGGTTATGCCAAGTGCAGATTCTTGTGTGTCCCTCTGTGGACACAGCGGCCAGGAAGCCCCTGCAATGATGCTTCTGATCTCACCACACGTGTCCTGTCAGGTGCACAGTCACCTGAGTTGCTTCTCTTGGTGCTGTCCTGCTCAGGTGTGGTTTCAAGTGGCCATGGACCTTGTAGTTTTCATTCAATACTATGCATTTGACTTCATGGTTATCTTTGCACTATAGCAAACAATACTGGATTTCCATTTACAGTAGCAGTATGAGATTGCCTTTGAAAATATTTACTAACTTAAAAAATGGATTGATTTACAGAAAAAAAAAAAAAAAAAACAGCATGGCAGCAACAATAATGTAGCCAGGACAAGACTGAGAATGAATCCCTCATTTGTCTAGCCTTGGGCACTGTCCACCCGAGCCCTGTATATTTGAGGTGTCCCCTCCCCCTGCCTTGTGCTGATATTTTGTGCCAACCAGAATCTCTAATGACCACCACTTGGCCTCTGTTTCATTTCCCCAAATTACTTTTAAAGTTGGGCTTTGTTACAACCTTCTTAATGGTTCCCCTGAAAGACATGTTTATTTGTGGTGCCACGAAGGGGCAGGGAGAAGAAGAGGAACAAGAGGAGGAGGAGAGGGGCAGTGAGAAATGGCAGGCCCTTTCCCACTTTCTTGTCCCACTCTGCAGCTGAGCAAGTGTCCTGCCTCTGTTCACAGGACATCTCCTCTGTGACCCCGTAAGCAGGTTTTATCTCTGTCAAGTGGGTAGGCAACAGTCACTCTAGATCAGGCACTTTCAGGGTGGTATGGCTGTAGATGCCTGGAAACAACCCCTCTAGAGGTTCAGAGCAGTGTCCCAAGGTCACACTGCTGGGCTCAGCCTATCCAGAGCACCTAACAGTCTAACACCTTCGCCCCAAGTCTGTGGCTTATTCTCCCCACTTTGATGATGCAAGACAATGTGCAAAGCAGGAACTGTGGTATCAGCTCCCTCTTCCATGTGACAGCATCTCCGGGAACATAGTGACTTCAAGGCCATTTTCTGCCATGTTGTTTCTGAGGCTGGCTTACATGGCGGCGCTGGCTCAGGCCCTGCATGGGGTGGGTGGAGGATCTACTTGCAGTGGTCCACTCAGCCACTGTTGGGAGACCTTGGTTCTCACCTTCGTGACTGCTGCACAGAGCTTGGGGCTTGTCCTCCTGACATGGAGGGTGGACTCTACCAGTGTGGGGATCTAAGGGGACACAGGGCTGAGAGCAGAGCAGAAACTATATGCCTTGTATGGTCCCCCATCAGCACCTCTGCATCCATCCGGCACATACAGCTGCGGAGAAGGCTGCGGAGAAGGCTGCACCAGGGTGTGAGTACCTGGGGAGGGGCCATGGGGCCCACCACACTCTTCATAGCCTTTAGATAACTATGTCCTGTAGTCCACACTAACTAGGAAAAGGAGAAAAACATATCAAACCTATTTGACAGATAGGAAATGAGACACGGGGCAGGTACTGACTTCCTCCCTAAAGAGTTTAGAAGTTGGCAGTGTGGAAGATTTTCAAGGGAGATGCACAGAGGCCCCTTGGCCTATGATGGGGTTAGGTCCAGGTAAGTCCATCATACATTGAAAATATCATACATTGAAAATGCATTTTACATAACTAATTTACTAAGCCTCACAGCTTAGCCTAGCTGTCCTTAGACATCCTCAGATGGCTCATATCAGCCTACAGTTGGCCTGAATCATCTGATACAAAGCTTCTTTTGGACTACAGTGTTAGCTGATTATGTCTTGTAATTTATTGAATGCCATACAAAAACAAGTGTGTTTACATCATCACAAAGTCACAAGAGCCTGGAGCTGAGCCATCATAAGCCAGGGGCAGCTATAGTTGGAAATGTTAATGGTCTAAGACAGGATCCAAGGTGGACTCTCCATTTCCCAGTGCGGAGAAGAGTCCCTGGATTGTCAACTTGGGGTAGGATTTCAGGCTCAGCCCCACCTCAGTCAGGCGGGTGATAAGTTTTCTTAGTCAGAAGTGCAGGAGGCTGTGGGGATATTCATGCTTGGCCGGGACTCAAGTTGTGAAGACGGCACCTGACTTGCTCCTCTTTTCCCAGCCTTGTGTCCCCAGTGCTGCAGATCTGGGTCCTGGCTGGAATCCCATAGAATGTGTCACAGGTGGAAGGGGTCATTTTCTTGACCTCTGTTGGTGGCAGCATGTGTTGGCTCAACCATGTCAGAGTGGCAGCTTTCCTCTATGTCTTGAAATATAAACGGTGATCACTCTTTTTACTTAAATTTTTAGGGGCATCACTAGGGAATAAACTCAGGACCCTTACACTGAGCTACAGTATTTTGAGACAGGATCAAGTCAAATTGCTAATTTGCTCAGACTGGGCTCAAACTTGCAGCTCTCCTGCCTCAGCTTCCCAGAGTGCTGGGATTATAGATGTGCACCACTGTGCTTGGCTTGAAACCTTTTAAAACTTTTTTGTAGTGCTGGAGATTAAAGCTGAGGTCTTGTGCCTGCTAGCCAAGCCCTCTATTGCTGAACTACACCCCTGTCCGCGTGTTTGCTGTTTGACCTGAAATCACTCTTCTAACAGATCTCTAAAACTCCACAGCTTTCAGAAGGGGACCAGGAAATTGTAAGAGTTTGTACCTTGGGGAATGATTTTATGCATGTGAGAAGATGTATTTATATAGTTACTGAGCAAATGATTGTTGTATGTAGCAAAAATACATTTAAAAAAGATGTAGCCTCTATATCCATCAATAAGGGATGCTTTAAGTAAATTGTGTGTATCCATAAAACCCAATTCCAAGCTGCTGCTAGGGTTTCCTGGTGAGGATTTATGTTTATTGACTTGGAAAGATGCTTGTGACATATTGTTGAGTGGGAAATACAGCATATATCATATGATTCCAATTATATGCAATTATATTCATAGATCTTTCTCAGAACACAGAAAGAGATGTCAGAAAGGCAGATGGAAAGTTCAACTAAGTGGATGGATTTTACATTTTTCTTCGAACTCTTCTGGCTTTGTTATTTTTATTTATTTATTTTTACAGCAAGCAGTTTTTTTCTAAGGAGATAGTAATAATGAGAATATTGATGATGATGATAGTATAAAATCAAGCAGTGGGTTCTGAGTTATTAAGGAGGTTTCCAAGGACTGCTTATCTTGGGTGAAGGTCTGATTCTCAGTTGTCATGGAAATGCTGACATTCCTTTGCAGGAGTGAACTTGTGGGTTACTGGATTGAGATGGGGCCTCTGGTACTTAGCTGCCCGAGGAGACCCAGAGCATCTCAGGCCCAGGCACTCCACCTCTCCCATGCCTTTCCCTGTAGGAACAGCCCCTCTGTTGTCTGTGAGCTCCAGCTATCTATGTTGATACATTTTCCCAGAAGTCTCTCCTGCACATGGCAGGTGCATCTCACTTGCATCCAGAATAAAAGAATAGTTGTGGTGCAGCTAGCATTTCCAGGCACATGGGGGTGTTGCTGATGTTACTCTCAATACTTCATAGCACTCTCAGTCTAAGGAGGAGACTCTCCCTGCACCTTTGTTCATAAAAGAAGAAACTGAGACCCAGGACAGTCATTTGCTCAGTGCCTCCCACTACTGGGGAGTGGATAAGAACCAAATGCAGATCTGACTGACTGCTGTCACAAGTTCAGCTGAAGGTATGGCTACTTGGTTTTGCAAGGTGATGTAGGGAGTGCTTTGGGAATTTGAGTTTTTGATGTGAGGGTGATTGTAGAGTCAGCAGGCGAAGTGAACATCACACCTGTTGATTACCTGTGAAAGGTTCTGCTGGAAGATATTAGGTTGGAGACCAGTTTCTCTGCCTCTTTGTACATTTAAGACAACCATGCTGTCTTTGAACATTGGAACGGGTTGGGTCTTTGCTTAGGTACGAGAGGAAATGCTTGTGTTGAGGTGACTGGCTGGGTGGATTGAACATACTCATCTCAAACTCTGTAGTCATTTGCAGTCAGATGTCCACACGGTGAAAGATCTTTGGGAAAGAGATGACAGCTTGCAGCTTCCCACTTGCTCTGGAGCCCATCAGGGGCAGATTCACCCTGAACCAGAGGGAGGTGACACTGTACGAGTGTGAGGAACATTATGACTCCTGTTTTTCCTTTGTTGATCATGCTAGAGACATAGTGCGGTTAAGTGACAAAACTCTAATTTCCACTTTCTGCTTCATTCATATTTTGCAATCTTTTTACTTCCCTGTAACAGAAATGTACCATATTCCTTTCCCATGGCTGCATAAGAAGCCACAGGAAACACGCTAAGACAGCACCATCTGTCACCTTGCAGTTTCCATGGGTCACAGGTCTGGGAATGGTTGAGCAGAATCCTTTGCTTATCATCTCACAGGGCTACAGTTGAATGTAGCTGGCCAGGGATGGGGTCTTATGGAGAGCTTGCTCTTTGTTGGAAGACTTTAGGCCCTTGTGATTATGGGCTGGGGACCTTCAGCTTTTAGTCGTGTCCCACAGTCTCCTGTCTGTGGCTGCTCCTTTGGCATAACTGTAATCCCAGCACTCTTCGTGATGAGGCAGGAGGATCACAAGT